AGGGTTTTTTTTGTTTGTTTGTTTGTTTCATTCAAACCCTTTCCTCTGTTAAATACCTAGCACGCTTGTGGGAGTCCTTTAAGCTGGATTTTCCCCATGTGTAAGCTATTCTTGAGGAGATGGGGGGAAAAAGTGGAGGGAAAGGATGGGAAGAGAGGGGAGGGTTGAATAACAACTAACATTGACCTGCCACTTACTGTTTGTCAGGCACTGATTTAAGCACTTTGTACATACTAATTCATTTCATCACTGCAACCCTATGAGGTAGGCATTGTCTCCTTTTTAGCAATAAGGAAACCAAGGCACAGAGAGGTTAATTTATTTGCCCAAAGTCACACAGTAGGAAGGGATAGAGCCAGGATTTGGACCCAGGCAGGCTGTGTGGTTCCAGTCTGCTCTCTTAGCCATTATACTATACTGCCTCTCAACGTGGGGAAGCAAAGCAGGTTTAGGGAATTCTGTTATCTCCAGGACTACTGGGAGGAACAGACTTTGTGATGTCTCTGTTCCCAGGGGTCATATATGGTAACAATCCAGCAGACGCATTGTTACAACTCTAGGAAGCAAAGACCCCATTTCTAACCATAAACTTGGATTTCTTTAGCCACATCTCCATAGAAAGAACAGAGTGTGGGTCATGGGCACCATCCAGCTAATAGTTTCTTTATTCCCTCTCTTCTGATTCTCTCTTGCAAACACATGCACTCTCACAATGTACCTTTAAAAAAGTAAGTATTTCTGATTTTTCTGGATAAATGTTTTTGTATTCTTCAGATTTGGCTTGCTACTGTTGGCAGGAAGTTACCTGTTGTCTGTGTTTTAGTGTTTCTGAGGCGGATATTTTGTTTAAAATGCTGAGAGCTTGTATCGACAGTCCAAACAATAAAGTGCTTTATTTGACAATAAAGTATTTTTTAAAAAAAAAAAAGATGAGTATCCACTTTATAAGAGTGGAAGACTTCTTATAGTACTATATATCAGTATTGGAAGCTCAAATGTCTATCAACGCAGAATCCCTATACCAGTGTTCATTAAAGCTTCCCTCAAATTTCAGCATGCTTGCTCCCTCCCAGCAGAATTTGTAGAATTAGATGTCTGGCAGAGGCCCCCTAAGGTCATCTGCTTCTACCTGCTCCTTAATCTCCAGCTAAGGTACAGAGTACTGGCAATAAAGTGCTCTACCATAGAACCTGGCAGATGGTAAGTGGAGATTTCACTATGGGTTTCTTCCTTCCTGCCCTCTTCCACTTTTCCCTGATTCAGCTTGTTCCTCTGAAAATACAGAGATCACGTCCCCTGTCTCGGGGATTCATTTCGTTTCGATTTGCCTTATGATTAGAGTGACTATATAATTTACAATCCCAACTGAGGCACATTTGAAAGTGAGGGGACAATCTAAACAATAAAGCCTACCAGAAAAAGAGGTAACAAAACTGGGTTGTCTGAGATAAATCGGGCCCTGTGGTCACCCTATTTATGATGTCTTGTGTGGTTCGGAAGTGGCCACATTCTGGCCACATTGCTATCTGTGGCTTATCTTCATGGGTATCTTAGAATCTCACTGTACACTTCATCCTTTTGAGAGGACAGGGTTTACTTTCCTGACCTGCTCAGGCCAACCAGAGATTAATGGAAGCCATGGGAGTTATAAACAGTCTGAATTTCAGCCTAGCTTTTGACCATTTTTCAAATACTTGTTCTCCATTTCTCCCATTACCAGAAAGCCAAGCCATTCCAGCTCCATAGGGTACCACTCAGAGTATAATTGAAGTTTGAATAAACAACACATGTGGCTTTTAAGGTTAAATGAATATTGTTTGACATACAGTACACTAGAGTTGTTTTTCATTTTGGTTTAAAAAATTGGTTAAAATTACATCTTGTTGCTTCTCGGAATTAACTAGAATCCATCTGTCTCCATTAGAATCACTGTTTTTTACAAAAACCATGGCTGAATGAAAGAGGCTCCATCTCACTCAAGATAATTTGTCCACTGAATCAGGAAAAAAAAGAGCAAAGAAACAGGTTTTTTTTTAGGGTATTGGTGCCTACTTTTTCCAAGATATAATATCTAAGATTGTAAATAGACACACTTATTTTCAGCTATCCAGACAGATCGTACTTAGGTCTAAAGAACCACTTATAGCCATACAAAATGTCAGTATCTAAGAAGATAATTCTGATTTAAATATGGTTTAAATTAAAAGAATAACTAAAATGTTGAAACTTTTAGCAGCTACCTAAAAGAGCACTGAAGCTTAGAGAATGCCATTTTGATGACTTTGAAAGCCCAAAGGCAACAGAAATACTAGCAGTTCCTAGTATTTATATATAATACATAAATATATATTTATGTATAATTTACATAATGTATATATTATATACAGTATATATATATACATATATGTGTGTATTTATATACAGGTTAAGTATACCATCCGAAGTGCTTAGGACCAGAAGTGTTTTGGATTTCAGATTTTTTCAGATTTTGGAATATTTGTATTATATTATACTTACTGGTTGAGCATTTCTAATCCAAAAACCCGAAATGAGCATTTCCTTGGAGCATGACGTTGGCAGTCAAAAAGTTTTAGATTTTGGAGCATTTCAGATTGGCTATACTCAACGTGTGTGTGTGTGTGTGTGCGCGCGCGTAGTGTGTATGTGTGTATATATATTTAATGACTCCACTAGTTTTTAATCAAGTGAAATAGTTCAAATTTAGGTGCACGTGCCTGTCTGCAAATGCTCAGGTTTTCAAACACAGATTGTGACACATTCATCTGAACTTGTGTTACAGGGGATTAATATTCTGCTCCCATGTTTGATACTGACTTGCCTTGTTGCTTTGCCATCTTACCTCTCTGCTCATTTGTAACCAGGACTATATGCTTCTATGATGCTTTGTGATTTTGACTGGATTATAAGTATTTAAAGATACTCTTTAATTAAAAGCCCTTTAAAAACTCTAGGGTCTAAATGCTATAAGTTGAACTCCTCAGAAGGCCATATTAAGTAAACATTTCATGTCAGTACCAATCATTAAATCTACATTTAAAAAGAACATTTGATGAAGAGAGCTAGTCTATTATTTTTCTTTCATAATTTGTTTTCTCTCTTTGGGTGACTTAGATTAGGCTTGAAACCACATCCTATAGCTTTTACATTTTGTTTTGCCATTTGCTGGTGAATCTTTCTGGTTTCTAGTCTTCTTTCTGGTCCCATATTTTATCTGGCTCATACCCACCACTGCCTGCTAAAATGGGACAAGTAAGTCTACATTCATCCCCACTCTATCACTGTCAATGACAGTGCCATTCCCCAGCTCTCCAGGTTTATAATCTGAGAGTCATTGTATACTGTTTTTCCCTCTGCCTTTCTCTTCCATTGTCAAATCTCCTTCAGGATCTTAACATTTTCTTTGTATCTGTAGTAGTCTAATTCAGTTCTTCTCTATTATTGCGCAGATGCTCGTGGCCTATCCCATATTACTATTGCAGCTTCCTGGTTGGCCTGCCAGATTCCAGTTGTTCCCCGACTAGTCTGTACTCCATTGCCAGAATAGTTTCCACAAATATTTTTACCATAGGACCCCTACATAGAGATTTGTAACAGGATCAAATGTGAATTCTTCAGTGTTTTTATGAATTCCATGCAGCAATTATTTACCACCTCTATTTACTTCAACAACGTACCTTAATCTCTGCCTCCCTCCTTCCCTATTTTGCTTTCCCTCTCCTTCTCCCTTTCTCTCTCTCTCTCCACGTGCAATTACCAACCCCATTTCTCTGGCTTCCATATCTGATGTTTCTACTCATGCCACATCTTGCTTTCTGTCTCCAGTATGTGACTTGCTATTTCCAAAGCTCTGGTCCTTTTCAGATGCCACCCCTTTCAATTAAGATACTCTCTGCCCACATCGCTGTCTGTTTATGTTCTGCACCATCTACTCCTAAAAATGTGATTTACACAATACCTATCATGGGGGAAAGCAGACAATAAACAAAATAAATAATATATGTAAGATGTAAAACAATGATAAGTGCTAAGGAGGAAAATCAAAGAGGGAGATAAGAAATATCAGAGGGGTTTTGAAATTTTAGATGGGGTCATCAGAGAAAGCCTCTCAATTCCATCATTTGACAAGTCTTTATTGAGTGACTACTATGCATCCTGCCCTGTTATGGATGATGATGATACAGCCATGAGTAACACAAATAATGAACCTTGCCCTTACAGAATGGACATACTTATTTGGGAGCCAGGAAACCTAGGTTTTTGGTGTTAACTCTCACAAACTCATTATTTGACTGTGAATGGCTACTTCTCTCTGAGCCTTGGTTTCTCCATTTATTGTCCATCTGTTGGACAGTTACGCTTGAAGTCCTCTACATTTCTAAGGTTTCAAGATACTAAGTCCTTTAGGCAATCAGCAATGATAAGAGGTTCTCTGTGCAAAGAATGAATCACATAGGCCAAGAGAAAGGTGTGTCAGGCAAAAATAAAGAGAAGCATCTTAGATATTTGTTATGTAAACACTCTAATCATAGCAACTTTTACCTTAACTTTCAGATTCTCAGAGACATAACGGCAAATTTAACAAATTATGACAGACCAAATCCTTAAAACTCATTGTCTAAGGGTAGTTTAAACACAAGTTAAATATGACCTGCAAAATACTTAACCATCATGGGAATAAAATAAGCAAAAGTGACAATGATATCTGTATGAAGGTGATTATTTTCCCTTTTATTTTCCAAATTCTGGATAATGTGGCTAGACGGTCTATTGAGAAAGTGGCAACTTTCGTCAGAGTTGTTTTGAAAAATGAGGCACATCCAGAGAAATCTTTCAGGGTCATTTTTTGAAGGACAGCCACAGAACTAAAACGTCTTGAGAACTTTGGGATCATAGTACCAAAAATGTTGCTAGGTCACAAGGGTGATAGTTTTCCCTTCTGTGTATGTATGATTCTTTCTTTATTTCTTTTTAATAAACAGGGGATGGAGAACTGTCGTGGGAACATTCTGATGGTGATATCTTCCGGCAACCTGCCAACAGAGAAGCAGTAAGTGTGAATAGCTCAAATAATTCACCACTTCACAGCATCAGGCCAAACTTGCCTCTCCCCATGGCTACTATCCCAGCAAATCCAAAAAAGGGCCGATTTCTGAGGTCAGACGGGATCGGGCGCGTTCAGGGCAGCATGGCCGTAGACAAAAAAAAGGGCCGATTTCTAACATCATTTTTCTTCCCCTTTCTCAGAAACTTGAATGACATCATCACCAACCTACAACCATTTAAGTGCACTGTATAACTGGTAACTGGCCAGGACACAAAGAAACCATAGTCTCAGCCCTTTATCTAGATCAGAAGTTGGTACCCTTTTCAGGATGACTTGCCAAGTCTTTATGTCCTCTGTAAGGAAGGTAGATCACTACCCCTGTCCTCAACAGTGAGGAACTTCTATGGGGTTGTAAGGTAGCCCACCCGATCTTTTCGGTGGGATTTGGTGGGTACTTTGGACATATCCACATAAACCCTCCCCCAAGCCTTAGGCTCGCAGGCATACAGTTGTAAGAGAGGAAATGTAGCAGTCCCGATTCTCCTCCCTTCACCCTGCGACATCTCATTTATGTTCTCAGCACTAATCTCAGAATAAGCCTCACAAGAAGGCATCTCTCTATGTATAGCAATACCATCTTTTGTCTGTTTGCATTTTGAAGCAACTAACAAAATAGAATCCCTCTCTAAAAAAATACATGTCTAAGAAGAATTATACTTCAAACTTCTTAAAATCTGAAAAGGAAATATTCTAATTCAAAGAATATATCATATTAAAAGACTTATAAAAGTGTACAAAATGTACAGAGGTGATTGTTGCACATAAATACATGTTCATCACACCCTTGTACAAAAAAGTGTACAGTGACATTCATTGCAGCATCATTCTCATTAGAGCAAAACAAATGGAGTCCACCTAAATGTCTATCAATAGGGACTTGATTAAATATACCCTATCTATGGAACACTGTGCACTTGTTGAAAAGAATATGGTACCTCTAAATGTAGTAAGGTGGAGCGAGCTCCAAGAAATAACAAAACAAAATGCAGGATAAAATTGTACGTTATCATTTCCTTATGCAAAAATTTTACATGCATATATGCAAATGCACATAAAAAGATCTGGAAGGTCACATTGCAACATGTTAAGAGTGATAATCCTAGAGGGCTACAAGTGATCAGAAGGAAATGTAGACTTTGACTTTTTACTTTATATCTTCTGTATCATTTAATGTTTTTCCATAAGTATCAATTAGTTTTGTAATAAATAAAACATGAATGATTTTCCAAAACTTTAGGAATTTGTTCTCAGCAAGCATTGGATCTGAGGCAGGAGGCTAGGGAATTATAGGATTGGCCTGAGGATATTGAGGGTGTGAGGAAGGTGCTGATGGGGGATGCAATAGAATGCCTGATACAGGCTGGTCAAAAGGTAGTGAATTCTCGCAATTGATTATTCACAGTCAGTTACAGATTGAACTCTTTGTTCTCCTCTCTCACCCCTTCTTGCTACTGCGCTTGACTAGTCTTAAAAAAGAAAAAGAATGATACAAACATCACAGTGTTGCTGAGGCTGGGCTTCCTGGTCATCACATGGGCCACTTCTGACTTTCATGTCCCCAGCTTGCCAACACCCAACCCAAAAGCCTCAGCGGTGAGATAGAACAATTTCTATTTGCTTTACTCTCTAGCAGTATTGTTTTCAGGACACTGCTCTTTCTGAAAGAATTTAGAGGCATTGGGGGATGGGGGTGGACAACAGTACTCTAGATATCTCAAAAAAGCAGCATCCTGCAAGAGAGGGTGGGCTGCCCAGTTTGCTGGTTAATACAGACCCAGAGGAAAGATTTTCTCCATGCAGTTCTATCTGCTTTATGGTAAGTAAGATTCCTTCCAGATCCTGACAGGAGATGATGTCAGTCTTAGTTTTCCGTGTTGTGAGTTTCCTCTTTTTCAGCCCTGATTTTTTTATCATGGTAAGAAGTTGAGAGTGGCTAAATTAGTGGCTGTCAACCAGATGTCATTCTAAACGATATTTAGGGCTCAATCACCTTAAACTATGTTCCTTACTCCCTAAGAAGTACCCACACTATGCACTGTGGCCACTTTAGCCATCTTGCTGGTAATGCCATTAATTAGCCTTTCTTCCTTGTTTATTTCAGAATATTACAGGGGTACAAACACTTTGGTTACATATAATGCCTTTGCACCACCCAAGACAGAGCTACAAGCATGCCCATTGCAAAGGTGTGGAATTAAGCCAAGTAGCCTTTCTTTTTGACTTCGTTTTACACTGTCCCCAACTCCATCCCTTGTCTTTCAACTTCATTGTTCTTCCTAAACTGCTAGTAGTGAAAGGGCTGGACTTAATCCAGTAGTTCCTGTAGCAAAAGAGGTCAGGTACAGAAATGCGAGGCCTTGAAATAGTTATTGATTTTCAAAGGCGTTTAAGACCTATCTTTAGAAACAAACATTTGGGTCTGGTAGACCAAAATGGCCAGATGGTTCCACTTTATTATAAATAAATATTTCCCTTTGTTCTAAAAGGGATAGATATTGTGGAATACGATTTGAATAATAAATAGCATCTGTGGTAATGGAAAAATATATACCTGACACATAGTAGGCACCCAATAAATACGTGTTGAACAAATGGATGTGGAAGGTGGAGTGAAATGTGTGTGGTGGTGGGGTGGAGAGGGGGCTTTTCATTAATTTTAATGCATAGGAATTTGTCTCAAATCAGAGACAAATTCTTCAAATTTGTTGTTTGCTCCTGACCAGCCTAAAATGAGAAGACGGGAGAATCCCTTCTGAGTATCCTTTGCAGGCCCAGCTTCCTACATGGTGAAGAAAAAAAAGAAGCCCCAATAACACATTTCCTATCCAGTAGATTGTTCTTTTTGTAAACTGTTCTTCTTTATAGGGAACCATCAAAACCTCAGTTTAACAAAAACACAGCTGATTGGCTTATTTTGCCAGGCAGTCTGAAAACCATCAGCTTACCAAGTTTTACGAAGTGCACAGGAAGGGGAAGCAGTGGTTCAAATATAACTTCTTTGTAAAAACCTGCAACAGCTTTTGTCTGATTTCCAGTTTGTAATTTCACATGAATTGGTCCTCGTGCCATTGAACGGGGGAGTGTGTGTGTGTGTGTGTGAGTGCGCACGCGCGTGTGGTGTGTTATGTGGGGAGGGAGAAGTAGGCACAGGGTAGAAAGCCAAAACATGAAAGCAACCATAATTTTGTTTTGGACAACAGCCAAACTCTGATTTTTGCCCCCAGTAGATTACATCAAAATCGACCACTAGAAAAGCTAAAGAGTTAAGGATAGAAACAACATGAAACAAGACAAAAATCCACCTCTCATTCACATAGTCAGAACAATGGTTTGGGAAGGAAACTGCCCCAAGTACGTTCCAGCCAGGGATAGTCCTAGGTTAGTAGTCACTAAGGTACAATGTTTTCATGGCTCTGTGGATTATATTATAGAATACATTCTGAAGACACTTTTTAAATCAAACTTTTTATTTTGAGATAACTGTAGATTCACTTGCAATTGTAGGAGGTAATACAGAGAGACCCTGTGTGCCTTTGCCCAGTTTCCCCCAAGATGGTAACATCTTGCAAATCTATAATACAATATCACAATCACAAAGGCCCTTTTAAGGCCCTTTCTGGACTCTGATGTTTTCCTGTCTCTGCCAATAAAACCCTTGTGTCTTAGACCTTAGAACAAGTAAGGAAGAAATTCCTGGGGAGCCTCTATAATGGTAGGGATTTTCTAACACCAGAAAAGAACTGTTTTAGAACCACTTCAAAAGCCTGAAATATTTTCAGTCTTTCAAGTAAGTAAATTTTTAAAAATACCAAAATACTAAGCAAAATAAAACAGAGCATATCTATATGGTCATTTCTAATTGGTTTTTGACCTGCTCCCTCAAGCAGCCAATTTGCAGCTGGTTTTTAAGATAAGCTCCAATTTCATTTACAATTCCAGGGTGTTAATGCCTTTTTCTCCTTTGCTCTAAGTTACAAGGTCAGAATGGTCCCTGGTAAACCTCTTTCATTAGTTTAAGGGGGCGACTCTGAAAGAGCCATTACCCTTAAATCGAAATCACACACCACCACCTCAACCCCCAGCCCTAAAATAGAAAATCCTTTATGTCAGTGATTCTTAAGCTTGACTTCAAATTAGGGACTCCTGGGGAGTGTATAAAAATCCTGATGCCCAGGCCTCCCCCAGACCAATTACTTAAGAGTCCCTGGAAGTGGGACCCAGGCATCAGTATTTTTTACAGCTCCCCACATGATTCTGGTGTGCGACCAAGGTGGAGAACCAGTGGTGTATGTGGTTGTGAATGCTAGCTGAAAGAACTTCATCATCCGAAAGAACTACTCTTTGGAGCAGCTTTTAGCCAAATGTTTGGGGACCACTGAGTTTGACTGGACATTCTCTCCTCCACTTTCTCCTCCTTACCCTATTCCTCTTCCTCCTTCTGTTCATCATCCCCCTACTCTCACTCTCCCACCATCTCCAAAAACTCAATCTTCATGGTCACCCTGAATAAATCACCTCTCCTCCCTGGCCTCAGTTTCTCTGTCTGTAAAACAAAAACTTCAACAAGATGAGGTTCTAGGGGGCCAAATGGTCTAGGATAGGGCTTCTGACCAAAATCTCTGAGGTTTGGGGGTTTTGCCTTGAATCATTTTCCTACCCTTATCATATGTCCCAGGGTCTGAGTCTCTGGTGCTAAAGAACAGCCTTTCATTTTGTGCTCATCATCATGAGTCTGAGAACTGGTACTTGCAGCTTATCCTGGGTCAGCGACCTTCCCTTTCTAATTCTATCCCTGTCTAACTCCTTCCTTTTAGCATCAGTGGGCCACCCACCAGCCAAACTGTCTTCTGTGTGTTCCTTTGGCAAAAATTTGACAAACTCCAAAAAGGACAGAACAATCTGTAATGGCCTTGGTGGGATGTGAGAGATTATGGCAGAAAAAGATACATAAACCATTGTGGGAATGAGAAATATTTGCACTGAGAATCCCATTCGTGTGCATGATAAAAAATTGATGCAAATTCATATGTGCGAATTTTTATAGCAATGCATCAGCATGGGCTCTTCTTAGAGAGACTAATGTTCTCTTTCAGAAGTCTAAAACATCCTTTTATTCCAGCTCCTGTTGACTCTCCCTTTCTCCCACCAGTGCCCCCTTCCCACCAAGAGAGCAATAATACTTATCAAAGCTAAATTTACAACATGTATGTCTATAGCACATAACTTTAATCATTATTTTATGGGATGGTGGCATCAGAGGACCCCATAACTATCTTCCCAAGGTTCCCCATTGTTTCTAGCACTGCATATAAGTGTCTTCCTTTTTAATTGCCTGTGAGAGATTTTTTTAATGGGTTCCCCTCCTTCGCCCCTAACAATTGCCAATTGCCCCTAAAACACAATTAATGTTATTTGGCTTTAAGCATTAAGATTCTACTCTTCATTCATTCTATTTTCTTCTACCTCCCAGCTATCTCAGCTCCTGGGAGAGGGGTGGGTAGCTCAATAGTGAGCTCATCATGTGTCTTGAACCTGTGCTGAAAGAGCAATGGTTAGATTATATGTGATATAAGACTCTAAGCTTTCCTTAGGGACCATAGTTTCATTCATTCAATAAGTATTTGGTAAGCACCTTCTAGATGCTAGGCACTGTTCTAGGCACTGGAGATATAACAGTGAATTAAACAAAGTCCTTGACTCTGTGGAGCTTACATTCTAATACTGTCATACACTGTCAAGTAGTCTATCTATAAAATGTCTAGGTTATCTGTGCTGTGCTGTATGATCTTATGCCATTGCCTGTGTTTTGAGTCTCTGTACATTTTATCAAGAGTATACTTGATTCTCATCTTTTCTTCCTGTATAGTTCACTCTACAAATGATCAGGGTTCAGTGCTTTGAAATACGGTTCTGATTACATTATTTCCCTACTTAAAAAAAAAACCCTTAAAGCCTTCCACATCCTCACCTCTATTGCTTACCAAATAAAGTCCTTACCCCTTAGCCTGTCATTTAAAGTCCTCCATGATCTGGCTCCCACCCATTTTTGGAAAGTTATCCTTCAACTGTTCCCTTTTATGGACTCTGTGTTCTCTGCTACACCTTCTCAACTTGGAAACCCCTGCTTGGAATATTGCACACAAACTCTGCCTATAAAAAGTCTACCCACTCTTTGTGGCCCAAGTCACAAACCCTCCCTAACTGGAAGCTCTCTTTTCCTCCTGATTTGCACAGTACTTTCTACTTCTCCTGTGACCTCTGTTACATTCTGCCTTGTGTTGCAGACTACTGTCTTAACTCTGAAACCCGAATGTGAGAGTCTTTAGAGCAGGAAGAACACTTTAGCCTTTTCAGTTGTTTTCTCCCTCAGGAGTTTGTCTATAAATCTAGTCTCATCTTTTGGAAAAAGAGAAAAACCTCAGTATATTGCCAGAGCTGCTTTTACATTATCACATCCCTGTTTCTACTGGTGTAGGTGGGTGTGCAGCTAAGATCAGAGCTCATCATTATAAATCGAAATCATCGAATGACTTCTAATATATATAACTGAATCTCCCCCATCTCATCAGTGGACTTCTTAGACTGAATTTGTTCTTGTTGTTTTACAGAGACATTCTTACCACCGCTCTCACTATGATCCTCCACCAAGCCGACAGGCTGGAGGTCTGCCCCGGTTTCCTGGGGCCAGAAGTCACCGGGGAGCTCTTATGGATTCCCAGCAAGCATCAGGGACCATTGTGCAAATTGTCATCAATAACAAACACAAGCATGGACAAGGTAAGGGGCATCCCCCTTTTATACCCTTCTGCATTTTGGCTTCAGCAGCCCTGGTCTTTAGAGGGATTGAGGTAGGACAGGACCCTTTCTCCCACAAAAATCACATATTCACACATGGCTCACTCACCATCAAGTCTACAGAGTATGGACAAGTGACTCCAAGGGACTCTTAGGGCTTCCCTAAATGCAGCCGAAAGAGCATAGTCAAGGCCCCTTTGCTTGTGAAGCAGCATCCAGCATTTTCTCAGTTGACCCTGGGGGTTGGAGGCTATTTGGGAAAATTTGATGAGTCTTTAAGAGAATGAGAGGTTGTTCATTTTCCCATAGGGCACCAACATTCAAAGGCACTCAGTGCCAAACACTTCTGAAACTCTTATCCATACATTAGAAATAGCAATTCTCACACCTTAGTGCACCCCAGATTCTCCTGGGGCTCTTGTTAAAATATATATATATATATATATATATATTCCTGGCTCCACACTGAGAGGTTCCGGTTCAATGTGTAGCATATGAGATTGTCCCTAGAAATGAGTAATCCAGTGAAAAATGCAGAAACCACCTGGCTGAGCACCAGGAGGACTGATCAGGTTAATGCTGACATGCAGCCCACTCAGCCGACCAACTGGCTGCAGCAGGTACCCACAGACATCCTCAGCCCCCATTTCTTCCTGCACAGCATTATCTGACTTCTGCACCCCGCTCCCAGTAGCAGGGGTGTGGGGAGGAGAAATTCAACCAAACAATTGACTTCTTACTTTTTTAGGCGTCCTGTCAACCAGCTCTTCGGAGCAAGAGCTCAGCTGGTTCCTTTTTATGAAACCACAAACATGTTTTGTTTCCTTTAAAGGGAAAACAAATCAAAGGCAGTTCTCTGAATGGGTTAAAAGTAATAAATTATTAAACCAAATGATTGAATAATATGAGTGAAAAACAATCCGTTACAAAGAACTCCTACCATAAATCTCAACAAAGCTAGTCAAGCCAAAGCTAGCTGATCACATCTGTTCCTAGTTAGATGTAAATTTCAGATTACAGATAAAAAAGTAAATTGCTTTTGAAATGTACAGGCTTAAAAGAACATTCAAAATAAAATTCTTAATAAAAAATGGTGGCGTATTAGAAGAATTGGAAATATTTACTATCGATCTGTGTTTGATTTGAAATTTATTATTTTTAAGTTCCAAAGCATTCTGATACAAGTTTATGAAATGAGGAGGAGGAGTTAAGTAAAGATACAGTGTGATTTTCAATCCTAAATTGCCTCCAATAGATTCCATTTGCTCTAAAAGTATTCCAAAGCCTTTAAAAAAAGTGTGGGAAAATGGACTTTGAAAATCCCAAATCCCATAATTTCCACAAGGCGTCTTTATTTTCAGGGCAGAGGCTGATCCCTTGATTTTCTCCATGTCCTACAAAAGTCCCAGCTGGTTTACATTTATTCATTTGCCCCCATTGATTTGGATGCAGCAGTTCACTTTTGACCTTTCTATTATAGTTCACTGGAGAATCACTTGTCCCCACTCCCAACTCCTAACTCCCCAGCTGGATGATTCAAAATCATCTTGAGAATTTTTTGGTGGGCAGAGGCTGTGTTTGCCTCTAGAGAGTTGACCTCACCCTGTTCTACTGCAACGTGTGGGCTCTCACCCAGTCTGGACCGTTCCCTTAGTCCACATGTTTAGGGGAGAGGGAACCTAGCTATATAACGCTAGGAGTCCTGCCTGCCCTGCTCTTCGGCATGGCTCACCCTTTCCCTTAGCTTGCCTGCTTATGATGTGGTCCTCTGAGATTCATCTACTTGGTTCCTTGTTAGAATCGAAGAGGAGAAGTGATAGAACTCCACCATTTTGAACCTGAATCCAGCCTAAATGTTCTTGAGGCAGACCATGGTACCCACTTGATCGCATTGTTTAGAAGGGAATGTCACTGTCTGGAGAAGAGAGAGAAGAGGTGAGGGCAGGGGAGAGAACAACACATCTGGTCTGTTTTGTATGATCCTGTCCACAGCCCTGAGCCTCACAGTTGAGGTGTCAAGTCTCTGTTCTGTCTCACTATAAGACTGGGAGCCTCTCTGGTTTGGGTTCTTAAATCTTTACATGGATTGACCCGTTAGAGTGCCCAGTATTCCAGCAGCCCTTGCAAAGGACAGAAAAAGTCAGCCAGCAATCATCCGTATTTCCTAATGTGACCCAGTGGACTCGATGAAAAAGAAATAACTCAGTGATTCATCCTTCTGAGGCCATTGTCTTGCAGCCAAATCAGTCAGTTCCTAGAAACGCCCCAAGTGGGGCTATTTCTCCCCCTCCCCCCGGCCCCGCCTGAAGTGATACAACCCACCCTAGAGATGTTGTTGATTGGGATGCCGACAGGTCTCCCTGGGTATGATGAGGTGATGGGAATAATGAGAAATACAGCCAGTCCCAGTCATGGCTTGAAATCTCCACAATGCTCCTGCATTCTCAAAAAGGAAGAGAACTCATTCTCAGACTCTCCGTTGACAGCCCTGTGCAGAGTTCTTATCCTGGAGCCTGGCTCCATGCCTTATACTAGGAGCTGGGTATGTTTTGGGTTGATTTGCATGGAAGGATGTTCCTGTGGCCCCTTCCCTTTATAGGCCACTCGGCCTGTAGCCCAAATGCTCTCTCTTTCAACGCCCCTCAGAAAACACGGAGCCGGTGACTTCACTTCCCACTCGACAAAGGTCAGACTGCCAAAAAATATCAGTGGAGCTGGCAGTAATTTAGCTGTAGCCAAATCTCTACAGCCGCTATGAGGAGGGAGACTGAGGAAATTGCCTGAAGATTAAAGGCATACAAGACTATCCCTTCACAAGTTACCTAGGAGGCATTGGTCCTTTCCCTCTCAATCTCATCTTCTTTCCCACACCAGGGAGTAGGCCAGCACAACTAAGTTCCACACCCATATATGTTGGTAGATCAGACTCTCATAGCATTGAACATTCTGAATGGATTTGCTTCAGGATCTGGAAGAAACTTGCCGTTTGGGAAGAGCAGTAGGTTTTGCATCTAGCCTCCCTGGAAAGCAAATATCTCTAGGAAATTTTCATGCCTGGTAACACATCAACTAGGGCCATACAAATCTTCCATGGAACTGTAGATATTAACACTACATTCTACTAGAGATTTCTTATCAGATGCCCAAGACAGATAGAACTCTGCTTCCATGTGTTCGTTCATTCCTCTGTTTTAAAAAATATTAGCTTTGGCCGGGCGCGGTGGCTCACGCCTGTAATCCTAGCTCTCTGCGAGGCCAAGGCGGGCGGATTGTTTGAGCTCAGGAGTTCGAAACCAGCCTGAGCAAGAGCGAGACCCCGTCTCTACTAAAAATAGAAAGAAATTAATTGGACAACCAAAAATATATAGAAAAAGTTAGCCGGGCATGGTGGCGCATGCCTGTAGTCCCAGCTACTCGGGAGGCTGAGGCAGGAGGATCGCTTGAGCCCAGGAGTTTGAGGTTGCTGTGAGCGAGGATGACGCCACGGCACTCTAGCCTGGGCAACACAGTGAAACTCTGTCTCAAAAAAAAAAAATATTAGCTTCTTGGCCTTCTGGCTAAGATCAAGTGTAGTAAAAGTTATTTATGAACTGCTTACTATGTGTCAGGCCATTTGTGAGCATCCAGAGGTCACTGCTGAAGAATCTGGGGAGCTGCTGACAGTAGAATGTGGCCCAGGCTGTTTTTAGGTCACAGAGACTGCTCTGTAAATGTATCTCCACGACCATGACAAGCACAAAGGATACTTGATATGTTGAGTTCATATGGGGCTTGGGTTTTGAGCATAGAGACCCTTTTTAGCTCCTTAGCTTTTAGTTTTCATTTCTGTGTTCTCTTCCAGTGTGTGTTTCTAATGGAAAGACCTATTCCCATGGCGAGTCCTGGCACCCAAATCTCCGGGCATTTGGCATTGTGGAGTGTGTGCTATGCACTTGTAATGTCACCAAGCAAGAGTGTAAGAAAATCCACTGCCCCAATCGATACCCCTGCAAGTATCCTCAAAAAATAGATGGGAAGTGCTGCAAGGTGTGTCCAGGTAAAAAGGCAAAAGGTGCGTTGGTTGGAGGCTCTGCCTTTGGTTGACTGAAATCTTCACATAGTCCTTCTCAACTTTCTTTCAGCATCAGAAACACAATCAATCTGTCATATAATTATAATAATACTTCTAATAATGATGAACTTCATTCTCTCCTCTCTTGAAAGACTGAAAAGATGGTTGCTTGGAAGAAATTTACTACTCAGAAGTATACTAGGGATTTGCTTTTGTCTACCAATACTTACCATGAGCCCTAAGTGCTGAACTATCTGTGCTTTTCTAAATAGTAGAGAATTTAGGTTATGATTATTAGGAAGAACAATAGCACCTTTCATTTACATTAGCATTTAACTCATCAAAGCACAATCACATCCATTATGCTTTTGAGACAAGATGAGAGTTACAGTCGAAGGAGACTGGGTTCTGGTCCAAATCTAAGTTGTTGTCTGACTTAGAAATGTGCCATATCTACTCTGGGCTTCATCAGCCTTATTTGTACAATGAAAAGTTTGAAACAATTGATCTCTAAGTTTCCTTCTACACTAAAATCCTGTGATTATATTGTTAGTTCTCTTTTGAAGATAAGAAAACTGAAGTGCATAAAATGACTTGCCCAGAGTGATGCAACTAATTGATAATAAAACCAAGGCCTAGAACCCAGGTCACTTCCACCCTATTCTCTTTTCTAGGCCAGTACAAAATGTTGACTGATTTAAAAAGGCAAATTAATTATTTAAATGGTGGTTTTAAAACATGAGCTTCATAAAAATATAGTCCATAGTATTGGAGTTGAGAGAGTATATTTATTGAGGATTTTCATGTAGACCAGTGGTTCCCAAACTTGCCTGCACACAGGGAGCTCCCAGAGAGCTTCTGTAACTACCTGTGTTCCATCCCCAGAGATTATGATTTAATTGATTTGACGTGTGGCCTGGGCTTTGGAGTTTTTTAAAAGATTCCCAGGTGATACTAATGTGCGGAAAAGTTTGGGAACCACGACTGTAGGCCCGGGGTGTTTATGGTCTTGCTACTCCAAGTGTGGTTCATGGACCAGCAACACCTAGACCTAGTTAAAAATGCTGACTCTGAAGCCCCCGCCCCCAACCTTCTGCATCAGAATCTGCATTTCAACAAGATCCGCAGGTGAATCTAATGCACATTAAAGTTTGGGAAACACTAATCTATGGCACAAACAAAATATTCCTCAGTGTGATAACCCCATCTTCCAGAGTAAACAAAGGGCAGGGTGTGGATGGGAAGGACAGGAGCCATCCGATACGGAGTCAAGAACTGGGCCATTAAAATTTATGAGGAAATGTATTAATTACAGGTAGGGAGAGAGCACATTCTAAAGATGATATGGACATTGGGGCCACCCAGCCATGATGATCTATTATGACTTTCAAGTCTGTGATCTCACTGGATCCCCAAATTTTTTAGTGTCACTTAGTGGCAGTTCTACCAACACAATGTTCTCTTCTGTCAAGGGTCTAATGCCTATAATGTAAAAAGTAATGCAACAAGATCATTTCAGACAAAAACTAATAGTTGACTAAACTATCCATTCTGATCTGAATCTCAGACCTTCAGACCAAATCCCATTTCATTGTGTGCTTAGCATTTTATTGATACAGGCAATTCAAATAAAAAGTAAAACAATCAAAAAGTTGTGAGAGCAGGACACACAACAGGCATTGCCTTTTAAATAATTGCCCTCACAGGTTGGTAATGTTTATTAAAACATTTGGCTAAATAATTCCACTCTTAGGAATCCTAAGATAGTAATCAGAGACATACACGAAGATACACAAACAAGGATTTTTGCCACAGTGTTGTTTACAATAGTGAAAAATTGGAAACAATATGAAAATCCACTAATATGGGAATGGTTAAATAAATTATAGTATATCTGTACCATGAAGTAATAATACAGCCATTAAAAATCATTAAAATCACCAAGATTTAATGGCACAGAAAGATGTTTGCAATGTATCTGTTAAGTAAAAAGAGCAAGCTAAAAATACATGTATATTATGATCCCACTTTTTGTGTTAAAAAAGAAAATGCTTATATATGCTAAGACCAAAGGAAAAAAAAAGAAAAGACTAGAAGGACATATGGCAGAATATTAAGAATGACCATATTTGGGAGACTGATAAATAATTTTTATTTATTTTTTTGGTTTATTTGTATTTTCTAAATTTTCAGTAGTAAACATGTATTAATTTTGTAAATAGAAAAAATAACAAAAGTTATCATTTAGAAAACTGCCCTCCAGCATCCCAATTGGCAATATGTTGAAGAGTCTGATTGACTAAACCAGTTTCTCTGGAAGAGCTACTTTATCTGCTTTCCTGCCCTGCTCCAGTGTGGGGAGATAGATTTATTGAGGAACATGGAAGGAGAGAGCTTCTGTCCCATTCTGTGTATCTGTCTCTCAGTGGGCCAGACATGGGTTTCTTACAAGTTGAACCACTCCTGCTAGTCACATTGCCTAAGAGGCATTATCCACGTAGCCCAGGGCACCTGCTCCAGGTACTCAGCAACTGCAGCATCGGGGAGTATGTACTCGTTCATGCATTCAATCTGGAAATATGTATTAAATGCCTACTGTGTGCAAGACATGTTACAGACACTGAGGACAGAGAGATGAACAAGACAGACGAAGGCTACTTGTTGGCATAGTCCTTATATTCTAGTGGAGAAGAAAGACAGTGAACCCAAATCAATAAGGTAATTTTAGATTGTGATGGGTACTGTGAAGAAAACCCAAACAAGATCAAGAGATAGTGACGTGGGTAGGGAGGCAGTGGGAAGCACTTTCAAAAGAATGGTCAGGGAAGCCTTCTGTAAAGAAGTGATATTTGAGAAGAGTCCTGAATGATGTGAAGGGGTGAGAAATGGGATGATCATGATATCACTGGCCTCTTAAAAAAATGACAAATGACACAGAGGAAAAGGAACAAGGGAGTGAGGAGGGAAGAAGATAGAAGCAAAAAAGAACAGTAAATTCAGTTGTGTTGATAAGGGAAAAGAGATAAATCAAATTCACTAACAATCCAGCCAAAAGTTGCATTGTAACAAATGATTGCAGGCTCCTACAGTAGCAAACGAGGGCCAAAATAAAGGATGTGAGTTTTGCCTCTCTTTCTTCCCTTTGCTCTGACAGAGGTTGGCCTTGTCTTGCATATCAGTGGCCACCTACAGGGTCAGATAAGGCTTCCACTTCCTGAAGGTTTCCTAGCTCATATCTCACACCCACTACATCACCCCAATACCTGGAATTCCCATAATTACACTCCTTTTGGGTTATGGCATAAAATCCCCTGTTAAGACTTAAAAGTTTCCTGGGCTGGAATAATACATCTTCATCAGTCATCACTATTTCCATAAGGAATGGTTTCTCAATTTCTTAGTTCTGGAGGGCTCAGGACAGGAGAATTCTCATGGAAAGTGGAAATGACCAGAAATGACTTCAAGTGTGGCATGCTTCCCCAAAAGAAAATGAGAGTATGTGAACGTGGAGTGATTAGAAAGCACCTTGAGGTGCAGAGTGTGGAAAGTGGAGGATGTTGCCGAGTAGGTAGTTCTAAAGACAAACTTTGCTTTTCTTAATATTTTCAAATGCCAGCCATGGTTGAGTCAATAATGGGTTTTGTTTGTAGACCCCTCTGGTCTAGTAAATTAAGCTCTTGGAGGGGCGGGGGTGGTGGAGCGGGATGACTCTTCAGGCTACTGGAAGACCTTTTAGCATATTATATACTGCCAGTGCCATCATGGATTTCATAAGTTGGTTATAGCTCTGACCAATATTAAGCTGGTGAGCAGAGTTTAACAAGTGAACTCGGCTCTCATTCTGAAAGCGATAATTGAATACATAGAATTCCCTGTACACTCAGTGACCTCCCTGCCTCCACCCATTTGAAAAGTGCTAGTACACAACCCCATAATTATCTAACATCACCAAAAAGACTGGCCCACTGAATAATTAAATAGCTAAAAAAGAAGGACAAAAGGAGAAAGGAAGCTTAATTCTAGGATAATCCCCAAATTGAGTAATCCAATCTGGAATCATCAAGAGAAGACTCTGGTTTTGTCCTTACAGTGCCAAATGGTGATGGGGGTGGGAAAGCTAATCAGGTCACCAAGAGACATACAATAGCAATTTGATTACAACTTCTATTCCAAATTGGCTAGACACCAAATTGGTGTCCGATTGGCTAATAGTGAGTCTCCCTAATTAGAGTCACAGATCCAAAGCGCTCAACACTCAACGGTTTCATCCACAACGATTCAGATATTCTTACAGATGGCTTCTGCACATATTCAAAGTTTTTCAGGGTGTCCAAGGCTTCTCTTTGTTGTTCCTGATTTGAATGTGCACTTTAAATATGCAGCTGAAGAGGGTGCTGATTACAAGGCCAACAAAGAAACTTAACTCACTGATAACTGACCAAGAAAAACTCTTTTTTTTGGTAGAGGGCTAAGGAAAGGGAAGGCTGAAGCAGAATGGGGAGTATTAGGGGGCTGGTAGCTTTGTGCCTGGGAGCTGAAATTCAACAGTTTAATTTACACATTAAATGATCCATAGTTGAGGCATTTAACCAGTTTTTTGTGTCTCCCAACCGTTCGTTTGGCATTGCATACATATGACTAATCTGACATCTAGGTTTTGGCACTGGTGTTGATCCAGCATTATCGTTCCCCTTACAAACAAATCAAAGAGCATTCAGAAATGTCAAGCCAATTTGGATAGATCCTTTGGGCAAGTATATGCACATAAATGAGTGTCATGAATGTTTTCTAAGTATACCTAAATGATGTCAGGGAAGTTAACTAAGGCCCTTTGTCAGCCCATTCCCTGGGCCTCTCTTGGCAACACTGGGTTGGACATAACATGATCCTGACCCAGTATGGAAAATCCTATGTTCCCTTAAGTGCCTAAGAGATTTGTACCTGGCTACATTTTTCCTCCTCATGAAAGTCTACTTCTCAGTGATGGTGGTAGGGGGCCAGTGTTCTACAAGACTATGGATTCTGTCAATGCATGGACTTCAATCAACGGTTATATGCTCCTTTGTGATTTAGTGGTGTTTACAGGGGCAATCTAAGCTGAGCTAATGAAATAGGAGTGGAATTTTTGTCTCTGGTGGAATGTTCTTGTTAATGGTCCACTTTTAATAAGTGTGAGATGTTATAAACAGTAAGACTGATAAATGCAGAAGTTCACTTCTGATTTTAGAAAATCATGACAAAACTCTACTTGCTTCCTGATTCCAGAAGAACTTCCAGGCCAAAGCTTTGACAGCAAAGGCTACTTTTGTGGAGAAGAAACGATGCCGGTGTATGAGTCTGTGTTCATGGAGGATGGCGAAACTACCAGAAAAATAGCACTGGAGACTGAAAGACCACCTCAGGTAGAGGTTCACGTTTGGACCATTCGAAAGGGTAAGCAAGACAGCATTCATTTATTGTCTTTTGAAGGGGACATAGAGAAGGAAGGTAAGATTCACCTTAATTTTGCTTCAACGTGTTCCTCTGGGTCAGAGTTTCCCTGATGACCTAGAAACTGACACATGTCTAGCACAGTTGGCGTTATGGCCTTTCAAACTCAACCATTGCCTGTGCTAAAGATTAAGTATTGACTCTTGGGGTTTCCAAGGTTGTCTTTCTCACACCCCCTAAAGCTGGATAAGTGATTCTCAACCCTGGCTGCATATCAGAGTCATCAGGGAGAGTTTTGGGTTTTTAAGAAAACTACCAAATGTCTGGGCCCTGCCCCCAGAGATTGTCATTAGTTGGTCTGAGGTGGGGCCTGAGCATCAGTGTTTTTTCCTAAAGCTCCGCAGGTGATTCTAATGTGTGGCCATAGTTGCAAACTACCAAACTTTAGTCTACCATTCTTTCCAATACAAATGAAAACCCATTCATTCAGTGCAAGGCTGAGTCCCTAGAATTGTGCTGTGTATTTTAGGGTAAGACAAATTTAAAACATCATCCTTGCCCTCAGGAAGATTACAGTAGTCTCACTGAAGAAACCACCCCAGTCATGATGTCCAGTTCCTTTTCTGATTACTCAGTGACTGCTACAGTAAGCCACATTCTGTTCATTGTGATCCTACAACTATTCTAACGATTATGTGGGTTTATGATTAGTGCTGATCTAGTCTGGTTGGTTTTCTAGGAATCCAAATGTAGAGGTGATATTTCAGATGGAAAATGTTACACATCTTTTTGCTACTGGCTCCTACATCAGACTCGAGAGTGCACAACCTTTAGTGTGCTTCAGCATTACTCAAGGAGCTGGTTTAAAATGCAGATACCTGGACCCATCCCAGAGATGCAAATTCAGTAGGCTTTGGGTAGGGTCTAAACATTTGCATGTTTAACAAATAGCCAGGTTATTTTAATGCAGGTGGCACTTTGGACCATAGCTTTAGAAACACTGCTCTAGTATTTATGGGGCTTTTTTTCTCTCCTTTTCCACCACAGCCTTTCTTTCTCTGAAGAATGAGTTCTTCCCTACTGCTTAAAAAAGATGCTTGAACATACACGTTTCTCATCTATGCTTATTTTTGCTCTATACCTAGGAGTATTTATTTTCTATTTCTAACTCCCTAGATCTTCCCTAATGGGTCGTCACCTAGGAGTAGGCACAGGTCTGTTGGCTTCTCCAGCAGGGGGCCCACTATTTGGCACCTGACAACTTTTGCCCCACAGAGGTGTGTGGATGGTTTGCAACTTGCTAGTGTATCATCTAAATATCTTTTTGTTCACAGTGCTAGATTATCAAGGTCTGTGCTTGGTGGGCAGAGAAAAACCCAGGCTTCACCTACTTTGCTTCCATCTACATAGACCACTTGAGGATTATTTAAGTGGGCTATAACACATTGGTCCTTAACTACAAGGCAATCTGCAATTGTTTACCTGTTATTGTGATAAAAGCTATTCAGCCAAGGTTGAGACTGTGGGGGCTGCTTTATTTTAACTCTCCCCATTTTTTATAAGGGAAGTATAAAGGAGCTGTGATTATTTCCCAAAGGAAAATATGCTTTTCAGTGAGTTCAGGAACAGGGGTGGCTTCTCCATTTACATAAACAACCTGCCTGCAGTTCTACTGCTGGCTCTCATTGCTTAGCCAGGAGGGCAGCCCAGTGGTGCAGCAGGAACATAGTCTACACAGATTTGGGGCCAGGGCAGAATTTCTAATACTGCCTTTGGCTGCAGAAGCTCCAACCCACGCTTGATTCCATGTGGCTTTCCCTAGGAGGGGGTCCCACAGTGAGCAGCACTATCTCCCTTATCTCCATCTCCTGGAGAAGCCAAGGGTAGGCCAGTGAGCCAAAGAAACAAATGGAGTCAATTATAACCCTTGAGCCATCCAAGTTCTTGGTTAAGCACATTACACAGCCCAGCTCGATACTCCTAAGCCCTAGTAATGAGATGATATGCTCAGCCCAAGCAGAAAAAGGGACTGGTGTCTCCAGATAGAGCGTCTGACCACCTGCCCCACTTTTTGCTTGGCCCCAGGCATTCTCCAGCACTTCCATATTGAGAAGATCTCCAAGAGGATGTTTGAGGAGCTTCATCACTTCAAGCTGGTGACCAGGACAACCCTGAGTAAGTGATATCTTTCCTTACTCCTCCCTGGAAAACACATCCAGTTTCCAACGTAGCATAGCCATAACTAAAGCCCCTCTGCATTCTCAGTGAACATTAGCAATGCTCAGTATCAACATTAGAGGATATTCTGTCTCTCTTCTGGGTGACTTGGTCAATGGGGTGTCTGAATGTGATCTGAAAAGCTTGGACATGGTGAATACAAACCCCAATGTAGTCTTAGCATAAGCTGCCTCAGGTAAAGGCTTCCTGAATGTCTTTAATGAAACTGCTAAGCCCAGACTCTCAGGAAGGTTGGAGAAGTTCACAAGATTCCACATCTGATACATTTATGGAGACTTACATCTGGAGGGCTATATCTGGTGCTGGGGATGAGAGACAGAGAGAAAATGAATGCATATCAATTCCTGTATTGTATCAGAGCTCTTTGACTCTTTGGGAATGGGACCTGGGTGACAATGTTTCTTTAAAACATTCAGGCACTCAAGAATACTTGCAGCTCTCCCACTTTCTACACTAGATGGAGCCTGGGGACTAGATACTGCTAGGCACTGGGGGGTGGGGAGCACTTCTAGTGGAATAAAAGGCACACAATTTCTATCCACAGGGAATTCTAACGGGCGAGACAGAACATGAAAATGTCTTCAGTATGAATTAGTATAGTTCTGAGGAGTTAAATAACTAAGTGCTCAGGGGAATCTGCAAAGAACAATGAGATGAGAGCCAGGTGGGCTTAGTCGGGGAAGGCTTCGGGGAGGAGGTGTGTTTTGAGAGAGAAGGGTGTGACTGGGCAACAGGTCAGGAAATCAGTCCAGGAAGAGGGTGCAGCCTAAGAGAAGACTCAGACAGGAGCAAACAAGAATTGTGGGTGGGGGTGAGGAATGATCACAAAGGCCACAGAGGGTGCACTGAAAGATGAGAAGAGTTTAGAGGCAAGAAGTAGTCAGAGGGCCTGGAAGAAGCCAGTAAAAAGTTCAGATGTAAGGCAAGTAGCATTGGGAGTTGCTGCAAACTTACCAACAGCGTAGCAATGTCAAAGTGGTGCTTTGGAAAGGTGTCTCTGGGCTGTCAGGTGGATTCCTTAAGCACGTATTTTCATAAAGCCAGATTATGAAGAGCCCAATTTGCCACGCTAAGAAGTTGGACTTGATCTCTAGGCCAGAGAACCCCAGTGGAGGATTTTAAGCAACCGAGCAGTACATTCAGCTCTGTTTTTAAGAAAGAGGTCCTTGCTGTGTGGAGTGAAAGGTAGACTCCTAGTGAGAGGGCTGGTGATAGTCTGAATTAGGAAGTGATTATAGTATATTAAATCATCGAGACAGGGGAGGAGAGGTCACTGTGAGACATTTCTGAGGTTAAATCAACAAGATCAGTATCAAAAAGAGAAATGCGTTTGGAATGACTCCAATATTAACAACTTTATAGGCTGGGTGAATAGTAATGCCATTCACCAATGGGGGAAACTCTGAAGAATAAGCAGGTATTGGTAGAAGACAGTTTCACTTGGAACATGTTTAGATTAAGACGCTTAAGGGCCATCTGACCAGAGTTATCCAGTAGGCAGCTGGAAAGAGTCGATGAGGTCAACTGTTTATCTTCTGCAGGACTGATAGAAAAGAAACTGGACGGTATGAGAATTCAAATGGAGGAGTTGGGAGTCCTTACATGTCAGTAAGGAACTAAGGAGGCAGAGTCTAGGATCCCAGGATCAATGATGGGAGTTTCGAAATGACATCTTTTAGTCCTACTGTGAACAAGGCACTGTGCTAGGCTCCAGGGGACTTGAAAGAGGATCTTGACGTATTCTGTGCCCATAGCAGGATTTCGGGAGCATAATGAAGTAGATGGTGTGTGCTTCAAACTGCGTGCAGCTGGAGGAAGTGGGTAATGATATGATCCTGCAGGGTCACCTGGAAATAAAGAAGAACAGGCCTGACTCCTGTATACAATGTGCCAAGCAGAGCCTGGCACATGATAGGGCTTCAGTCAAAGCTGGTTCCTTGCCCAAGCCCTCTTCTTCTTTTTCCTTCTACCTCCCCACTGAGTCAGAGAGAGTAGGGAAAAAGGAGGAATCCAAGGGAAAAGGGGGCAGAGAAATCGAGTCCGTATGGAAGTAGGGGGTCATTTTTTCATGTGGCTAAGGAAAGAAAAGAGGTTCAAAACAGGTGTTAGGTCAAGAAGAGTTTGCTTACCTTGGACTAGGAGTTCTCTGAGTGCAGAAATAAAAAGAAGACTGAAGAGGGTATCCAGAGTGGGCAGAGATAACAGGGAATGGAAGGAGTACAGCCGAGTTCACCTAAAGCGGAAAGGATCTCCATGGGGTACATGAGAATGGAACACTATAAAGAGCCATGGGAGGCGATTTAGGGGTTCTAAGGGAGTGTAAGGACAGCACGTGGACGTAAGAGAAAGCAAAGGTGAGAAGTTTTGACAGAGGGTGGCAGGAATAGAGAAAAGAGTGGTAAATAATCAAGTAACCCAAACCAATATTCAGGGCCCCTAAGAGTGAACAAAGCCCCAGTAATGCGGTACATACTCTTTTTCAAAGTGCCTTTTTTGACCTGGTGCCAAGTAAGCCACCAAAACAGCTAACAAACAGATAGATTAATGGAGCATTTTGCAGATGCTAAATATACTGTAAAAATTCCAAGAATAATACTTAGGTTTTACTCTTGAGGAGGTAGTTATATATTATTCTTGGGATTCTTACAAATGCTATGTGTTGAAATGAAAACTTTGTGGCCCATTTTCCATATCTGCCCCCGGAAAAGTGTTTTGGGAACTGTTTTGCTAAAACGACCTGAATTTTGTATTTCAAATCCCCTGGTGGGTCCATGAGTAAGTGGTAAGGATGGGGGATATTGGTTCTATTTCTATTTTGCTGTTCTCTCCTCTTACACTCTCCTGGCCACTTTGTGTTTGCCTTTTAGGCCAGTGGAAGATATTCACCGAAGGAGAAGCTCAGATCAGCCAGATGTGTTCAAGTCGTGTGTGCAGAACAGAGCTTGAAGATTTGGTCAAGGTTTTGTACCTGGAGAGATCTGAAAAGGGCCACTGTTAGGCAAAACATACAGTATTGGATAGGGTAAAGCAAAAAAACTCAAGCTGCAGCTGGACTGCAGGCTTATTTTGCTTAAGTCAACAGTACCCTAAAACCCCAAACTCAAATGCAGTCAATTATTCACGCCATGCACAGCATAACTTGCTCGTTTATGTGGAGTGGTGTGTCAGCCCTTGAACATCTCCTCCAAAGACACTAGAAAAGTCTTGAATTATTTGTGGGAGGAGGAGGGATAGAACACCACAACACTGCTCTAGTTTCTTGGAGAATCACATCTCTTTACAGGTTAAAGACAAACAAAACCCCAGGGTTTCTATTTAGAAAGTTACTCAAATGAAAGAAAGAGAAGGGAATTGCTTAGTAGGAGTTCTGAAGTATACAGCAAATATTTGTATGAAATTATACCCTTTGAATTTTAGAATGTCTTGTGTTTTTTAAAAACATTGACTCCCCATCCTCATACACATACATACACATGCACACCCCTACACCCATTAAACTACAACCTCCATTCTGAGGCAAAGCTAGTCTAGACCCTACCATATTTTCCCTTGCTTGGCTCCCAAGTAGCTTGGAGGTTGTTGGTGCCCAGGAGAATACATAAAGAATTGTAAGCAGAAGGCTCTGCCCTTAGATCTCTGATGTGGCTGTTGAAGTCACCAAATATAGTGGCAGAGTGAAGAATAAGAACACCATTTCATGGCCTCATTCACTTTGAAGTGGTTAATGACTTGGCCCTAATGATACCAATTCTCTTTTCTCCCTGAACCTATGAGGCCTACAGAAAGAAGTTAGAATTAAGTAAAAGTTTCAGAAACTGAATCCGTATAAGACAAAATAATTATTGAAGAAAGGAGTTGATAGAAGTCAAAAAGGCCATCTTTTTGTTTTCACATCAATAAAACTCAACAATTAATAGATCAATACTCACTAATTTTTTTGAGGCCACAGTTGTGTAGCCAGAAAACTTAGGTTAAATTTTTAAATTGTAGAAACTTCTTAGAGGGGTATTTTTCCTTCTTCTCCAATTATAGGCATTGATTTTTTGTTCACAAAGTGGCTCGGTCTTCACGAGCTTCTGTGGTGTGTTAAGAGAGCTATTATTCATTTTTAGGGAGCCGGGAATTCTGATAAATATCTTTATCCTAAATATTTCTATCATCCTTGCCTTATCCATCAAACATACATTTAATCAAAGATTCTAGAGAAGACCGCTCCTAAAATGTCTATTTGTAGCCCAATACCAGAGCATGAATTATCCATTCTGAGGTCTGGCTTTAGAAATCATCTTTGTGGGAAAACTTCACAACAAGGATCTCAAGCCTGCCTTCTAGATTTGTTATTCCCTCTGAGGGTCATGAATGAACTCTAGTGAGTACTTAGCGGTATTAAGGACCCAGAAATCCCGTATTTCCTGTTCCATGACTAAAAGTGAGAGAACTTTTTTTTCCTTAGAGTATTTGAAACTGATAGGGAAAAATGTCCAGTCTTTATGGCAACCTGGCATAAAGGAGTTGGTTCTCATAAAAGAGACACAGGGGCCTTGTGGTCAGGACTTCATGGGACAAGCCTCTCACCAGCCCATCACACACATTCTCCTCGGAAGAGGGGGGCACATCCTGGACTGAAAGGTCACAGAACATTACTGTGTGTGTAGAGGGGGAGGGTTAAGCAGCTGCTGCCTCCCTCCCAGAGGTGGCAGTATTTCCATAGTGTGGAGACCAGTAACGGGACCCTGAAGCAAAGCGGTGATTCCCCTTCTTGATGATTCACCCCAAAGCCTTCCCACCCAGGTGTTCTCTGAAAGCTCAGCCTTAAGGGAACACCCAGAGAGCTTCCCTAGATAGACTTCTGCCTCCAGGTGCTGGGACACACCTTTCCAAAGTGCTGCGAGAAGCAGGAGCCAGGGAGCTGTGTTAAGTCAGCGTAGAAACCCTCCAGTGTTTGGTGTTGTGTAGAGAGTAGGACATAGGGAAAAGAGGCCAAGCTGCCTGTAGTTAATAAAGAAGAATGGATTTGGTTCTTCTTGTGTATTTATTTGTATCATAAACACTTGGAACAACAAAGACCATAAGTACCATTTAGCAGTTGTAGCCATTTTCTAGTTAACTCATGTAAACAAGTTAAGAGTAACATAACAGTATTACCCTTTCACTCTTCTCACAGGACATGTACCTCAGTATGGTACTTATTTATGTAGTCACTGTATTTCTGGGTTTTTAAATTAATAAAAAAGTTAATTTTGAAAAATCATCTGCAGTCATGTCGTGTGACAGTGATTGACTCTCTGGCCTATACTGACCTTGGACTGGGTAACAGGTAATGGGTAGGCCTGGTGCTTTCACACTCACCTTGACATCCCTCTCATGCTATAGCATAGTAGGTAAGAGTGCGAACTTTGCAGTCAGACTGCCTGGATCTTTAAACCTAGCTCTGCACTTGCCAACTATGTTTGTCAGCCTCCCCAACTATAAAATGGGATAATAGGAGTACTATTGTCCTTTGCCTGCAATCTTGCAGTGAGGTTTAACTTAGTCAATGCATGTAAAGTGATTAGGATGGTGTCTGATGCATAGAGAGAGTTCATTTATGACCATGGATGTTGCAGGATGGCATGGCATGGCATCGAAACTGGCCATTGATTTCTGGCCTCCTTTTAGATAAAGATACTTAAGATAGTGAGTACAGAAGGCCACTGACTTAGGTTTCAAGGGGGCCTCAGTTTTGGCCTGCTGCTCACAATTTTTTTTTATACAAAAATTTGTATGGGGATCAGAGTAAGAGTCTTGTTACACATATTGATCCAAACTAAATTCCCTCAGACTTCCCATAGCAGCTAAATTTGTGCCATCAGAGAAGCCAAATTATGAGAGTGCTTCAAGAGAGAGTAGTCAAATGTGTCAGGTCCTGCTGAGATGTCAAACAATATAAAAACAGGAAAGCATGCAGCGGTGGTGATAGCGAGAAGTGTTGGTGGAGTGGTTGGAACTGAGGCCAGACTGGAGTGGATTATAAGAAGTGAGTGGGGAGATGAGGAATTAGTGGCTAAAGACCAGTCCTTGGAGAAGTGCTACTACAGGGAATAGAGAGATACGGTGAAGAGGGTAGCTGGAGGAAGCTATGGGGTCAAAGGAAAGCCTTTTTGTCTTAAATATGGGAGCTATTTGGCCAGATGTGAATGATGGAGGGAGAGATCCTATAAAAAGGAAAAGATTGAAGATAATGAGGAAAGGAGGTCACCCTGTGGTGTGAGGTGGGTGAAAAGCCACACCTCCATGCTGTGTCCCTGGAACTCACAATTCTTGACCCACACATGGGATGGAATTTTGGACTATGGTTGTCAACCCCTTATGTTGAGCTGCACCTAGTTCCCCTCATCACTGTTAGTTTGGCTCCCCCTTTATATCCAGCATACTTTCTTCTGGGATGGTGGGCTATAAATCCCAGTATTGCTCTACCTCCATTGAAGGAACTGCAAATAACTCAAACCGAACACCTTGGTTCCATCTTACACTCTTCCCTTTCTGTGATTGGCCACATCCAAATTTCACCCAGTACTGTCAATTTGTTCTCCCAAATGTAGACGATGTTTATAGGCTTTTGCTCTTAATCTCTCTCTCTCTCTCTTTTTTTTTTTTTTTTTTTTTTGAGACAGAGTCTCACTCTTTTTGCCCGGGCTAGAGTGCCGTGGCGTCAGCCTAGCTCACAGCAACCTCCAACTCCTGGGCTCAAGCAATCCTGCCTCAGCCTCCGGAGTAGCTGGGACTACAGGCACTACAGGGACTACAGGACTACTGGCTAATTTTTTCTATATATTTTTAGTTGTCCGATTAATTTCTTTCTATTTTTAGTAGAGACAGGGTCTCGCTCTTGCTCAGGCTGGTCTTGAACTCCTGAGCTCAAACAATCCGCCAGCCTCAGCCTCCCAGAGTGCTAGGATTACAGGCGTGAGCCAGCTTAATCTCTCTTTGCAGGATCTTTTCCTCCCTGTCGTCTCTACCCACCTGCCCCACCATGGTTCCCGGGAATCACCAAAGATCATCACATATGGGCTCAAGGAGAAGTCCTGTCTGCTACCACATGTTACCCACCCTTTTATTCCTTTCTTGCCTTGATTCTTGAAGGAGATCAGAATATGTCACCCCAAATATGCCACTTTTGCATAAGGATTATTTTGAGCTGAAGGCAATCAACAGGTGCAGAGAGTCCTATGCCATCCCCTTATCTACCTAAAAGCAAGGCATAAATTTCCCTTTAAGGAAGGTGCCCCATACACACACCAGGGAAAGAAGAGTGACTGTTATAATTGAAGCTGGTAAATCAGCACCAAGATGAGTTTGCATAAACAGTCCTTACTAAAGATAGCCCTTGTCTTCCATTAGTTCCCCTATATATTTTCTAGTCACTTTCCCAGAATTTATTATCCCTTCAAGCCCAAACCCTCTTTCCTTTGTTAAAAGGGTATATAAGCCCTCAAGTCTAACGATTTCTTTGAGTTTCACTTCTTTTTTTGTGAACGTCTGTGCACATAAATATTAATAAAAATTGTGTGCCTTTTCTCCTAATAATCTGTCTTTCATTAGTTTAATTTACCGGCCCCCAGTTACTGAACCCAAGAGGGTAGAGGAAAAGTTTTTCCTGCCCAGCACCCACCTCTATGATAAGTACTGCTGGAAAAATGCCCAACCACTGCCTCCATCACCACGTGTCTCCTGACAGGCACCACTGCTGGCAGCTGTGCTGTTCCTGGTGAGGGCTCCTTCTGCTGACCTAAAGGTGCCACTATGGTGCCACTAAGGTGGTGGTCCTCTGGAATCCTAAGTGTTCCCCAGTGGCACCGGATCCTGTACATAAGTAGAGAGAATGCCCTCCCCGCTCCCTACCTGTGATGTTAGATTTTGTCACCTTATATTAAACCAATTAACAAATAGGCCATGAGTGTACGCTACGTGCACCAGAGCAGGACCTTGTTGTGCCCCAGAGTCTCACAGAATTTTTCG